CTCCATGTGCCAGCCTCACTGTGTCACTTGTCCCAGGCTGTTCCCATGCAAGCCGTGGGCACTTTCACTGCTCAGCAACTTGAATCATTCCCAGGCAGTACTTGTGTGTCTTCCTTGCTCTGTCGCTGCCTGGATCTTAGCGTTCCATAGCTGAGCAGTTGGGACCCTTCGCTGCTGGCAGGCTGCCTTCTTGTTCCCATCACTACATGTTGGTAGGTGGTTCCTGTCTAATGAAGCTCCTTTCCAAGGGAGGCTGTTGACATGCTCCAGCACAGCCAGATGGTCCCCTTACCTCTTCTTCTTTTACACTCCCTTGGAAACATTAATGATCCCTAAACCTCTCTGATGGAGGAGCTCCTTTTTGTGACAACCTCATTACATGATTATCAGAAGCTGCCACTATCCATGTTGTCAGGACAACCAGCTTGATTCAGAGCCAGTGGGAAAGGTCTGAACCTCAGGCAAATAACCATCCCCAGCTCACAGCAGATGCTCACCCACAGCCAATCACCTGGGTGCTGGAAAGCCATGACATCATGGGCCAAGCAGGCCTCCAAATTTAATTGTTAGCTTTCAGCATCCCTCCGTGTTGCCTCCCCCCAGTGCTCTTCACATCAGCCCCTGCACAGTTAATCAAGTGCTGCTGTTGTGCCATTTCAGACCTCCCTGGAGCTGCCTGGTCTCAGCAGGGCTGGCAGAGGGGCTCCCACAGTACCCCATGTAATGCAGCCTTGGGGAGGAGTGGGACCATGGGGCCAAGTACTGGTGACTCATCAGCCTGGCATAGGGGAAAACTGCAAGGGACTGTAATACCCACAGCTCTTAGGCAACAGAATAAGTTGCTTCTTATTGGGGTTTTGTTCAGGGGGATGGATTTATGGTCAGAGTTAATTTTATCTGTAAGATGAGCTCTCTGGCAGCTACCTCTGAGTGTGGGAGATTATTGGGATTCTTAACAGGATCCTCTTCCCATGAAAACCTACTAACACCCCATCAGCAGTCATACTGTATTACTCAGATTATGTTGTGTTTGCCAGCAAGGTGTGATAAATATGGCAGAACCAATTGTGGTGTAGATGAAGGCTGTGTCCACCTTCCTGCTCTGCTGAAGCAGAGAAGTTTTACTCTGTGCCCTTGTGCCTTTACTAGAGCATGCCTGAGCCACCTCTGGAATAATGTATCAAATTAAGGTTACATCCCACATGGCACTGAAGCTAAGGCTTCCTACAGATGTGTATCTGCAGAGCTTTCCTGAATTCCTGCCCTGCTTGAGCACATTCCCTGTGAAAGCAAGATCAGGCAGTTCATTGAAAGAATTCCTCTTTTTGTTCAAGAAAGACTTTTTCTAACTCGCTGACCATCCCAGCTAAGTGTACCTTTGATTTCTGAAAATCTGGTGCTTGGTGTCCTTTGCTGAGACATTCAGCCTTGCACACCCCTCTGGCACAGGGAAGGCTGCTGGTTAGGCAGTGCAAGTTTGCAGTTCTGCAGTCAATTTGGGTGGTTCTATCTGATTAAATTTAAGAGGTCAGGTTACCTGACACTGGGCTTTTGAAGTCCTCAGGCATGTTTTGGAGGCTACAAGAAGACTAGTTGTTGCTCAGAGCTAAAATTTCTTCCTCTTGCTTTGCTAGGTGTTGGCTACCAGGCCCTGAATTTCTCTGGGGGTGCATCTTCAGGAAGGAATTTCCCCTGGGCCACTCCTGGCTGGGAACACCCCAAGGAGGGGCTGGGAAGCTTGTGCACAGCCCATCACAGCACAGATGGTTGTGATACAGGCAGTCCTGCCTATTTTAGTACACAAGAAAGGAGCTGTTTGGGTTGGTGATGCATGTGGCTCAGCCAGGTCCTTCCTCCTGCTTCTCAGATACCTAAAGCATTGGAGCTCAAATTAGGACAGCTTCTGAAGTTATTTTTGCAGGATAAGATTCTTGCTCAGAGACCAGATGGCTCCTGAAAAAAACAGGGTTTGGGCAGGCCCTGTGGGTCTTGGAGGCTGGACCTTGTGGTTGGGTGCACAGACTCTCAAAGCATTTCCATCTTGCTGGGACATGTGTGTGACAGTTACACGGAACTGACATCTAGAAGGGACTGGCCTGCTTTCCTATGCCCTGTGAGGACAAAGCCATCACCATGTCCGTGTCTGGCCCAGGCCAGCTGGTCCCAGGTGGGCCTGTGGAACAAGTCCAGCTTGCACTGCTGAGCCTGGCACGCCGGGACTGTGTAGGTGCCTTCACCATGCAGTGACTCATTTTTTCTTTTTTCCCTCTCCCAGCAATGTGCTTGAGCAATGTGCCCATTGTCAGCACATGCAACTGCTCATAGTGTGCAGCACAGCCCTCCAGCTCCAACAGGGTCAGCCTCATTACAGCTGGGATGAGGAGCAAGGGAGCTCTGTAGTTTGGGTAATTTCCTCTTTGTGACCTTTGTTTTTGCTTCTTCTCTTTGTCTCCTTTACCAGGAAGGCATAGGACAGGAATGCAAAATCAACTTTCTATCAAGTATGGGACAGTTTGCTTCCCTTTAGCAGCTTAAAGATAGCTGGAGAGTCCTGGAAGGCTGAAATGCACAGGTTCAAGGGCTTTGTGGTCTCCAAAGGCCAACCTGAAAGGCACAGACATTTAAAAACCTTTGTAATTTTCAGGCAGAACTCCACTGTGCACAGTCAATGCTTGCAAAGTTTCTTTGTCTCCCAGGAGAGTTGTAGCTTTGGACAGGGCTGAGCATAAGGGATCTGATCTGCTTTTTCACTGCATGCAGTCACAGAGTCAAGTTTTTGTTCCTTGTCAGGGGAAAGGAAACTGAAACTCTTCCTTCATCTGCTGTTGCCCAGCCTTTGGCAAAGTCAGATGGAAGCTGAACTGGGTTTGGTGTTTCAGAGAGCCTGCAGTTTTCTTATGGTGCTAATAAGAGCAGTTCTGCTGAAAGTTTATGCTAAAACTAGATTTTAGTTGTACTTCTTTTTAAAAGGAATGGAAGTGATTCACTCACAGATTCAGTCCTAACATCTGTAATTGCCTGATTTCATGCTCTATCTGCAGCTTTTCCTTAAGCTGCCTCCCTCTTTTGGAAGCCTGTAAGTGGGACTCACACTTCCCATGGCTTGTGGTACTCCAGGGTGTGGGGCTAGTAAATGACCCACAGTCTTTCCAAAGCCATCAGGAATGATTTTTACTCTGAAAGTAGCTGGGTACTACTGGTCCCCCATCAGCTCAGTCCTTTCTAGCTCTGGGCTGTTTTAAACAGCAGTTTGCAGCAGCCAGTGTGGTTTTCAGGGCTGTGAGCCTGCAGGGACCCTGACAGCTCCTTCAGCTGCATTCCGTTCCATGCTGCAGTCAAGAGACATTTCTCCAAAAGCTTTGCATGGACTTTGATAGGAGAGGAGCCAAAGGCCAAAACCTGCACTCTCTGCTAACTAACCCGCTTTGGCTCAACAAGAAAGTGTCCTCTGCAGGAGTTACCCCATTGCTTGTCCCAACCCTCTTGGATGCACACAGTGCTGTCACCAGGGTGGACACTACATGCAGCAGAAAATGGAAGCCCTCCTCTTCCATTGTTGAGGGACAGCAGATTTGCACAATTCCCGCTGACCTTACAGGATCCTGATCTAGCCACAGGCATAATTCTCTGAGGGAGCAGAAAGAGCACTGACAATTTGCTCAAGGGCTTGACTGTAATCATTGCAGAACCAGCCAGCTAAGTGACAGATTTGACTCATACTGGGAAAGAAAACCTTGGTGAGACTTTGGCTTACAGCAGGAGGGGATGGTAGTCAGGGCTGCTTGTCACGTCAGCGTGGACTGGGTAACTCAGTGAGTTCTTGCTTCTTGAGAACCTCTCCTTTGAACAAGCTGTAAAGCAACAGCCTGATCATGGTCAGAGAAAATCACATGGCATCTGGTGGGGTTCACATAGTTTGTTATCGCCTCTTGAATACATGTGGCCTGCCTTACCTTCTGCTGGCTGCTGTTGAAAAAGGTAAGTCTTCATTGCTTATCCTTGGCTGCTACATAATGTGGTATTACACATACTCTGTGCATCTCCATCAGGAAAAAAATTCCCAGCAAATCAAACAAAAAAATGGTCAAAGGTATGCTCACTTTGGTATGTAACAGCAAAACCCTTTCCCTTGGTGGCACTTGGAGCTGGTGAAGCTTCCTGCCAGCCCTGGGACCCAAGCGCAGAGCATGGATGGTGCTCCCAGCTCCATGCCCATATCCCTGTGGGCTCTGCCACAGAGATTGTAAAATTTGTCATGTTTATCTGCACTTTTTTTTTTCCCCTGGAAATATTGTAAATGTGAGATCATACTCATCAAAGCTGGGTCTGTTTCTACTTTTGATACCTTTCATGGAGGAGCTGAACTTGTGGATTCAGAAGGAGCAGAACAACCACACTTTACCTAGGGAAGCATAATTCTAAAAGAATGAAAGACGAGGGAAAACACAGACCGTGATTTTTCTTCTGGTGCGTCGGGGGATGTTTGTAAGGAAGTGCTCTCTTTGTTGCAGGAGTGGCCGGAGGTAGTTGCTCCAGCCTCACTCCTGCTGGGCTTCTCCCACGTTTGGATGCGGACAGAAGCCCACAGGCTGCCACATGCAGGTATCATCCGGGGGAGCCCCGAATTTCACGGTACATTTCCTATTTCCAGCAGACGACGACCAGGGAGCGTGATGATGCCGTTCAGGACCCCTTTCACCGCCGGCTAGTGCCGGTCCCGCCTCCCAGATACCCGCACACCTCCGAGGGGGCACCTCGGAAAGGGCTTGGAGGGCGAGCACCCCCCCGCGCCGCACTTTCCCTGCGCGCTGCCTTGAAACACGAGATTTGCCCCCAGCCCCAGCCCCGGCATGTGTGTCGTCACTGGCCGCCCGCCGCACCCATTGGCTGCGGCAGCGCCGCTGCGGCGGCCCCGCGACGCGCGGGGCGGGCGGGCGCGCGCGCGGCGATTGGCGGCGCGGGGGGACGGGCCGCGCCCGGGGGGCGCTCGGCGGCGGCGGCGGCGGGGGACGGGCGGGGCGGCGATGAGCGGCGGCGGCTCCAGGTAACCCCGGCCGGGCGGCAGTGAGCGACCGCGGCTCCAGGTAACCCCGGCCGCGAAGCAATGACCGACCTGAGTTCCAGGTAACCCCGGCCGGGCCCTGCGGCCGCCGGCGAAGCACGGTGCCTGTGGCCGCGTCTGCGGCGCCCCGTCTCCTCCTGACGATGGGAAGATGACGCCGCGGGCAGGGCCGGGGTGCGCCGGTGCTGGGGTTGGCTCTGCGTCTCCGGAGTGCCGCTGCCGTCAGTGACACCTGTGTTGCCGGGCAGTCGGCGGTGACCGGAGCCCAGTGTCCTGCAGGAAGGATTCGCAGAGCCGCAGCTGAAGTTGTGTCAGCGCCCCGGCACCGGCCATGAAGGCGGTCGCGGTGCGTGTGTTCCTCATCTCCCAACAATGCCGCCTCTGGGCTGCGCTTCTGCAGAGGAGTGAGAAATTCTGGGCTATAAATAACCCCGCCTTTTTTTTTTTTTTTTTTTTTTTTTTTTTTTTTTTAATGGTTGTTATTGGCAAGGCGCATATGCGCATCCGATTGACCTTAGCACCTGCCAAGTTTTTTTCCCGAAATCCATTCAGGGAAGGGTGGTCTTTCCATGTGCATGCATGGTGATGCCTGATGCCACATTGGAGCTGGTCTCTGTGCTGGTTTGTCCCTTTGTCCCAGACTTGTACATCAGCCAGCTAAGGAAATGCTCCAGCGTGATGTCTGGCCGCTCCAGGCTTCCCTCCTCCTTGCGGGGGATGCACTCGGCATGAGTGGCCCCTTTTGCCGGTCACTGAGGCAGTTTTCACATCCAGTTTTCACCGATGCCAGAAAACGAGCCTTTTTCTAAATGCAGCGAGGTATTTAACTCCTCAGTGGAAGACTGAGAAAATTCAGGCAGGAGAAACCACGGCTTCAAAGTGAGCAACATCTGACAGATGGTGGGCCCGGGCTGGGAAGAGGGGGTTGTTTGGGGCCCTGCAGCCCTGGGGGGTGTTGAGGGGCTGGATTTTGCCTCTCCTCGCGTCCTTCTGTTTGCGGGGTGGGCACAGCGTGTGCCAGGAGTGAACAGCCTGGGTATCTGTCTGGAGACTTTGGCAAACCTCCTTAAAGGCTCCGTGCCCCTGGTGCCTTCGACCCGGCGCCGAAGCTGCCTTTCTCTCGGTTTTCTGGGCACCGTCGGGGATGCCTGCACAGGGAATCTGGAGGCCGGAGATCAGCATGGGCTTTGCTGAGCGACTTTAGGGCTGATATGGACCGCCTCAGAGCGAGGAGGAGGGGAAGGAGAACGGGCCTTCCGGAGCGCCGGAGCCAGGCTGCTGCCTGGCTGCCCGAGGTGGAGGGAAGAGGACGCTGCGGCTGGATGGGTGATGAGACTGGCTTTCCTGGCTCCTCTCGTGTGAATCCACCTTGTCTGTGGCTGTCAGGCAGGGCAGAGGGGGCCCGGGCACAGCTCCGGAGCCACCCGGGAGGAGGACACTGTGCCGGAGGAAGTGGGGCACCGAGGAGCTTTGGGCTTCCAGTCACAGGTTACCCAACGATGTGGGCAGAATGTGGAGTAAATTAGGGGTCGGGGTAATGGGTTGTAGGTCTGTAGGGACATGGACTGGTGGGTTGTTCGAGGCCAGGGAGTGAAGGTTGCCGTGGCAGATTATGTGCACGGAAGGGAAGGTTTGCCGTGAGCAGGGTTTTCTGCAGTGAGCATAGGCTGGTGAGGGAGGGTGATGCTTGTATGATGGCTGTATGGAGGTGCATGGGTTGGAGCTGCATTCCTTGAGTGTGGACCTGGGTTTAGGAGCTGGTGGCACTGTACAGGAGGCTGGGGCTGGGGGCTGGCTGGCTTCATAGGCAGGGGGCTGCAGAGGAGGTTGTACTCTGAACCAAGATGTACATGGGTGGCATTTCTTCACTGAGTGACTCTGGATAACTAAAAGTAAGTAGCTGCTGTGGGCCCTGAGCTCCTGTTACAGCATTAAGTTTCAAGCCTCATGGGCCACCACTTGCAGCAGCAACAGTTTGGGAGGCAGTAGTGCTGCAGGAGGCAATACCCAGGTTGAGCTGCTTTGGTTGTCACAGGCCCTGGGCTTGGGCCTCATTCACCTCAGGGCTCTGACACAAGTGTGCTGGCTTTTTGTAGGGACTGATGGGGGCTTTGTGCCCTCTAAACTAACAGGCCCAGCGAGGAGGGTTTCCCAGAAGCTGGTGAGCATTTTACTGCTGACTGCAGGGAAGAGAACTTTACCTTTCCAGGTAGACTGTTGACAGTAAGCATCTGACCAGCACTCAGAAAAGGTGTGGAAGTTGGAATCCAGATTGTCCTGTGTGTGTTGAGCTGACTCACAAAGTCTGGAAAAATAAAGCTGGACACAAGAGGTTGTTTTCCTCCAACCCCCTGCATTTCTTTGCAGGTTTTCTGTGTGTAGTTACAGGGATAGTTGGGACACATGCAGCTCTGCAACATATTTTTGGCCATAACAACCCAGCTCTTGTGTTAGCCATCTCCTGGCCTGGCAGCTCCTACAGGAGAGCTGGTTTGTGGCGATAGTCCCATTCTCAGTTCCTGTTCCCTTTGCTTGTAGCTTTCTTCTCTTTTTCTTTTAATACTTTAATTGTGACTGTGGATCCAAACATCCCTGGAGCTGACAGTGTTCTGGGATCAAAACCAACTGGGAATCTGAAGGTCTTTCAGATCTGCCTACAACTCTCTCATTTTAGCTATGTCTGCATGGAACTGGTCACAGGGGGGATGTTGCCAGATTTGGCTTCCACTGCTGCTCTGGTTGGACTCCCTGTGATTTTGGGGCATTAACAGTGCTGTCACTTTGTGCCTCTCTGGTCTGAGTACTGATTTCTGGTTTTGCTGTGCTCCACAGTTGGGCAGGCAGGAGTCCACTGTGATCTTCCTCTTTCGTTACCATCTTTAGCTCATGCCGAAGGTGCTTGAAGCCTTTCTTCAGGAACTTAATGGGGAGGCCAGTGGTAGAAAGGGGAGAGAAGAGCGTGAATTAACTTTCACCTGCAGAAATGAACTTTTTCATTCACCAGTGCTATTTTGTGCTTGGCTAGGATTTTCTCCCTGTAGCTCTATTTTGCCTTTTACCTTTCAGACACAAATAGTTGAGCTTGTATATCTGCCTTTATGTTTGCTTTGATTTTCCTGTTACTTGAAGAATGGCATTAGGCTGAGTGGTAGTTAGTAGGTTTCACTGGGCTGGGGTCAGCACAGGTGGAGACACTGATGTAAATGTCTTATCTCAGACCTGGTGCCTGCTCCTGGCAGTAATTTTATAATGGAAAAATATGACAAAAGTGTCTGTGGTTTACTAGTGGATAGTCTCAGTGCTTGGAGTTCTGGAGATTGTTTTCAGGTAAACATCAGCAGCTGTAGCTTGTATGCAGTGAATAGCAAGTGTGTCACTGTGCTTTGAGGTAGCCAAAGGACTTCTCATTTTGCATGTTCAGTTGCACTGCTCCAGTTTAGCTCTGACAGTGCAGTGTTTATGAGTTGGCTTCCTAGGTTTTCTGAGACAGGGAATTGGGCTGCAAGGTGGCACTCACTGCCTCAGGTGGTGTGAGATGTGGCAGGTTGGGTGCACCTTGCTCTGGGCAAGCACCATGGCATCCTGCTGATAGTCATCCAGGAAGCCTGTGATGTTGATGCAGTCTCTTGCTACCCTTTTCTGGAGCTTTTGATCCCAGGAAGCCCTGGGCAGGGAACAGATAGGCCTACAAGTGCTCCAGTCATTGGTTTCTGGGTTGGGAGGATCTTTGTGTCAGCATATGGCACCAGCCGTACCTGCAAGTCTAGCTCTTGGAGCACTGAGCTAGGTGCACTTCTAGGTACTCTGATGTCCTGTCTTGTATTGTTCCTTCCAGAGGCAGACTTGGAAATCATGTCCCTCTTAAACAGGGGCATGTCCCATTCAGTTAGGAAACCTCTGCTAGGGATGTTGTTTTGTTTTGCTCTAAAGACTTATCATTATGGCTGTGTGCATTGAGTATTCAAGGGTAAAATAATATTGTTATATATTCAGTGTGCTCATTTCCCAACATTAGTTTAATTTTCAGTTGCTTATCTAGTAGTGTACCGACAGATGTGACTGAGTCTTGAATGATGCTGAACAAAGCATGTCTCTGCCCTGGAGTCTTTGCTGCCAGTTCCACAGTTGGAATAGTATTCAGTGCCTCCACGTACTGGATTTGGGGCTCAGTGTGGTGCTCTGATACAGCACTGTAAGGCTTACAAAGTAGGGGAATGGCAAAGTTCAGGTTGGATATACATCCTTTGCTCTGCTCTGGTCATGTATACTGTCTTATTGCCATCAGAAGCAAATTAAGGCAATTTGGATCCAAAACATGCTCAAGGAATCTTTGGGTAATTTCATGTTTCTTTATTGTCCTGGTGGCAAAAGTGTGCTTTCTCAGGGAATGGAAACAAAGATTTGGATATGATCCATTGACACCTGGCATGTGGACCAGTGGGCTCTGTGCTGTGGTCCAGCTTGCTGCTCATGCATGTACTTCACTTTGCCACAACTCAAAGTACTGCAATGTCATTTTTTTCTAGCCATAGATCTCCATAAGCCTGAAACAAACTGCTATTTCGACACTGCAGAGCCAAATCATTCTCATTTCCTTTCTAATCCTCAGGTATTGAAAATGCTCTGGCACCTTAGCAGACTCAATGTTGCTCTTCAGGATGTATGCACAGTTGGATGTATGTGATGAGGGCAGTACTAAAATATTTTCTTGTCATGTCACCTGAGTGGACTCATTACTCTAGACAATGCTGTTGAAGGGGCAGCAGCTGTGTGCCCATCTTCCCCCCCGTCCCCATCTCAGTCCATTTGATGGCATAAAAAAATCAGTTTCCTTTATTTAGAAAGGAAAGCACTTCTCTGTGTCTCTTGAGGGGAGTAAAAGGCCTAATGTTTTCCATTTTCTGTCTGCTACTTCTTTATTCCCTATTGTGAAGGAGAAAATCCTCCAGATCAGAAATCTTCTAGGCGCTTCCCTGCAGAGAGTCTTGATTCAACCTGCAGTGCCCAGATGCCAGCTCATAT